TGACGCAAGCATGAATCGTTCGTCACTCGAATGATGGAGCGAATACTAATATATCTCTGACGACGCAAGCGCGAATCATTCGTCACTCGAATGATGACACAAGCTTAATAGAGGTCAAAATGAGTAGCTATAAAACAAGTAGGTAACAATATACTCATAAGTAGGTAACAATATATACTCATAAGTAGGTAACAACCTAATGTAAGTAGGCAGCAATATATATATATTGCTGCCTACTATATAGAAAAAACAATAAGAAGTCTTACTCTTTCAACACACTCATTTGAAAATTTTTAAAAGTACTTGTAACCCTTTACTCTACTTCACTTCTGCTTTTCTACTGGTTTTTCAAATTTTTTTCAAAAAAGTAAAGATTTGGTTTACCCACTCCAAAAGATCGGCATTGTTTACTTTTCTAATTTGGACATACTTGGTAGAATGCAATTACATGATGGGTCTGTTTATAGTCATGGCACTATTTTATAGAACATGAATTAAAACTTCGGAGCCTGTTAGTCTAAAGATATCTAAGGGTGGCAAATTAGTTAAAAAACCCAAAAGTTTAAGGTAAAGTCTTACATTAGAGATATATAATCGTTGTATTTGTTATAAAATTTTTATTAGCCTGACATGAGTTACAATAGTGCATTTGTAGTTTTTTTTATATATGTTATACTATCTTGTCATTTTTGTGTTTCTTCTATTTTTTTCTCTTTATAATGGAATTATTTTTAGAATATACTTTTTTGTATATGTTTTCTTTTTTTCTTTTTGTCTTTTTCTTTTCTAAATTTTGTTTTTTTTTTAGTAAATTCAGCATGTATTTTTCCCTTATAGAAAAGTAAGAAATAAACTATTCTGCCTTGATCTAGATATGAGAAGTTTATAAGAAGAGATAGATAGTCATGACGTGTTGGTAGATCCTGGCCAGTGATTTGTGGATTCGAAATCCGAGGTAGATCTAAGAGAAGCAAGGAGACTACTTCTGCTCTGGCAGGTTGTACATAGATCTAATTGGAAACTGGGTAAATTACACTTTAGTATAAAACAGCTTGGCTATAATTAGATATTCAAATATAAAAATTTGTTCTGTCTATATCAAATAATAAAGTTGTGATATGACTGCTTGTTATTAAAAAAATATATATATATATATATATATTACCATACAAGCATGAAATAATGCCTATCTGCATGGTAATTAATTGACCTGTATATTATTCTGAGTATATGCATGTGTGTTATTTTGAAATAAATATTGATTTTCCAGTTTAACCTTTTTTAAAATAACATGCATGTGCCTTAATAGTGGTGCTATATATTTTTTTTATAGTATTAAGGTGACCTCTCTGGCCGGGGACTTTTTATTAAGTAGCTATAACGTTATACAATTACAACGAGGGTATATCAAGCCACACGTGCACCTTTTGAGTGCCTAATTTAAGTAGTTCGCCCGAAGGTTCTACACTATCTGCTGTACCTGCACCCCAACTAGGGGGGTACCTGTTTAAACCCCCTGGTCCTAACTGTCAGCTATTTCTACCTAACCAAGGTGTAACTCACTATTCGGTTGTAGCTTTTGTGATACCTGTAGATTTCGCACCCACCTTAGAACTTACTAACCATCTAAAGCTAGTCTATCCACGAGATAAACCTAACAGAGTGGTCTATATCCCACACATATATTCACCTGCATGTTCGGTAACTTCTTATCTAACTAGTACATGTTGTACTACTACCACTGGGTTCATATCTCAAGCTAACTTTTGGGGTGCTGCCGTAACCCGATCCGTATCTTAAGCACAACCTTCCTAATTAGTCACCTATTATGTACTCACTGTCTTTGTAAGGTTCCCAACAACCCCAGTACCCATATTTAAAACCGTCTCCTTACCCAGATTCTCTATTGGTCCCTCTCTTACTTCCAGCCGGCAACCCGGATGGGCGATCTGCCCAGGCTTTAGGTGCCTAAAGGACGCTCTCCTCTTGGTCCATACTTTCGAAGCATATGCCTTTTTTCTCTAGTGCGACAACCTAGCGGTTCAGCTGGTGTGTCTTTCGCCATTTAGGACCTGGTCACTCGGTTCTTCGATCTCAGGCCCCAGTTCGAATTCAGCCTTCCTGTAGTATCATTGAAGATCATTGCTATATCCCAATTCGGGACTTGCCAAATGGGTTTTCGGTTATTCCGGTTCCTCAAATTTATTGCACTATAGCTCTCATTACTAGATGGTGTAACTGAGATTACAAATTAAGATTCAACCGATAATCGACAACCGTTAACCGAAATGCAGATCTATTTTTCAAAATCGTCGTCCATGGGATTCGAACTCTAGACCTGCCACTTGGGGGGTAACAACTCTACCACTTCACTAAGTCGCCACACCCTAATAGTGGTGCTATATATATACAATGATTTTCTAAATAACCATTGTTTTTTGATTAAGTTAAACTGGTTATAGTATAACAACTAGTATTGGGCACAATTTTTTTTGTACTGTATATAAATATAGTACTTCTTTTGATCAAACATATAGATTTTTTTTTCCATACTTTTTTTATTTTTTATTTTATTTTCCTTAGAATTACAAGCCTATATGTACCGATACTATGAATATTTAATACTATGATAGTGTATCTACTTTTTTTTTTTTTTTTGAAAAATTCTTTTTTTGTGTTCTATGAAACTGCTAGCAAAATTATTCTTCATGAAGAACTTGGTTTTGAAGCCATCACTATTTCAACTATTAGCTGGTTAATTTTTTCTGTACTACAAAACTATATTAAAACACAATACTTTGGCACTTTAAGTAAGTGATTTTGTTTTTTTTTTTTGCTTCATGTCCAAATTTTATATGCAAATATAAGAAACAAACTAGACTACACTATTGTATTCAAACTTGAAGTAGTATTTTACACTGAACAAATGTCTAACTGTAATATAGCCTTGTTTTATAAAGTTAACCGAAAACATGTTCAGGAATGGAGAAATCAAAAAAAAAAAACTTGAGACTGTCAAAAATGATCAAAACTTAAATACTAATAAGGTTCGAGTTCTTGCTAGTTGTGGCCGAAAAGCCAAGTATCCCGAAGTTGAAAAAAAGTTATTAGAATATATTTGAAAAAAAACAAGAAAAAAGAATAGCAGTTTCTACTTCAATGTTTTATAAAAAGACAAAAAAGTTAGAAAGGCACTAAATATTTAAGATGCAAAGTTCTCTTGTTGGTGGGTTGAATATTTAAGTAAAGGCATAAGCTAGTGAAATGCATTCAGACACAACTCATGCAAAAGCTTCCAGAAGACATGCTTTTAATTGTTAAAAATTTTTTCAAACTTCATGTAAGAAAACAAAGAATATCAAAAAAAAAATTTATTATTTTATTTGATAAAACACCAATGTGGTTTGACATGCCTCGAAATACAACAATTGAATTTGAAGACATTTATGAAGTGCCAATTAAAACAACAAGAAATAATAAATTATGATTTATAGTAGTCTTGGGCTATACTGCATCTAGAAAAAAACTTCTACCTACTGTAATTTTAAGTTAAAAAAAATACCAAAGGGTAGGTTTCTATGAGACGTTGTGGTAACAATGACACCTTGTGCAAATATAATAGGAGATTTGACGATCTATACTTATATCTCACAAGTTATTTAAGCCAGACCAAATGGTTCTTCAAGAATAAAGGTGTAATCTTTGTTGATCATCATTATAGCCATACCCGTGATAATGTAGTTAAAGCATTAAATTTAGTATGATTAAAAATTTTTTTTTAAAAAAAAAATTAATTGAACCCATATTGTATAGGGTGGCCAACACTAGTTAAAATTTTTTTTTAAGAAGGCTTGGATGTATTGAAAAAATATCTGGTAGAACAACCTGCATTTTACAACCACCTAACGTTTCAGTAAATAAGCCTTTTAAAAATGGCATGACATGCAGATGGAAAAAATGGATAGATGAAAGTAAAGATGGGTTTATTAAAAAAAAAAACCACAAGAAAGCATCATATGAATTAGTTAGTAAATGGATGTCTAAAACATGAAGGAAAATCAGTTCAGATCTTTTGACCAAGTCTTTTGAAGCTGCTAGGCTTGCGCTTAACACAGATAGTAGCAAAGATAACAAGATGTCAAGCTGTCTTTAAGCCATTGTTGCAGACTATATAGATGAAGTGAGTTTTTTTGAGAAAGAAAATAATGAAACTTCAAATTAGGATTTAAATAATGAATCAAATTCTGATAATAATGAACTTGATATTGAGAGTGTAACAAATTATGATCCCGAAGATATGATGAGTATTTATAATTTCAAAGATATAACAGACCTTTATGAGTCTCATAGTCTAGTGGTCTAGGCGCCTAACCCTCCACAGATGAGGTCAACGGTTCGATTATAGCTGGTAGTAATTAATTTAATTAATTATCTCTGTAACTTTTGGGAGCTTTTGAATGTGAAACCTGTGGTGGTAAGACCATGTGATGTATATATTTGGCCTATAAAAAATTCTTGAAAGGAGCTCCGAGCCATGGAGAAAACTGGGCACTGCGTGTAATATGGGTCATAGAAGGTTTACTGCAGAAGGCTGTGCGTGTAAATTCATGATTGGCAAGGTAGCACCAACAACCCTAAAGCGGTATTGAGATCTTGATTGGGAGGATGGCTATATGCAGTATTTCTAGAAGTGGTAAGAGAAACGGTGAACATAGTAAGAGGCTGTGGTAAGAGAATGGCTTTACCAAATATAGAACACCTCTGGTACAAGAAAACAAAAAAACCCGGCTAAAAGAAACTCCGAAAAGCATGGAAGCAAGCGCTCCAATGGTATGAAAATAAAGACGGCCAGTGAGTAATGTGTCGCACAACCTATATAGGAGTCATAAGAGTATAACAAAACATAGCAGAAACGTGAATCCCGGTTACTGGCTTGTAACAGTAATTAAATGAAGTACTTAACTCTCGTCCTAAGGATCTAGACTTCTGTAATACCATACCAATAGGGAGTACTATAAAAGGAGCAGTAGCCTAATTTGGTAGTGTA